TGAAAGTACATGCTGATCAATCAATTCTACAAATTAATACGAATTTTTAACTCAATATAGCCAAAAATCCATATCCTTTCGTAGTTATCGGCATAAATAAGGTGAGATCTTCTACATAACGCTTCCTTTGTTATTTACTATTAATCTAAGAGGGACATCTTCTTTGTGAACTTTAGGCAGAACGTAAGCCGTGCTGGCCCATGCATCTCTCTGGATTAGTAAGCTCATTTTCCACTTTTCCATTCCACTATTACTAAAGGATACCTTAAGGGCATCCTTCCGATGATGGACGAAAGCTCGGCTCGTTTTAACCCGAAACGAGGGATGATATCTCGTGACCTTCGTCAACCTGAACGTCGTAGTAAAGCCAAACGCCTGCAGTACAACAGAATTCTGTTGTCTTCTGGTAAGATCAACCTACGAATCTCTTCTTCATCCACTTTCATAAGAAGTCAAAGTCCCTCCAACAATGATATCGCAGGAGATTCATCGAAACCCAGTTACTCTTCGTATCTACTAATTCGTATGCCTATATTATTGCAAATATTTTGATCGTAGCAAGAAAAATCCCTATTATCCACGCTGTCAAATATTTCACAGTACGTTATTTAGATGGGATTTTAAGAATGCATTATGTTGAGGTATGTTAATGGACCTAAAATAGTCATTCACAATATTTTGCAGACATCCTTATCTCTTGGTTAATTAAGGCCGTATCCAGCTTAATGTTTAGGCTAAAACTGCTCTCAAAGAGTAAATCTTAGTTGCATTATCTTCTGAGTAGGACAAAGCTATATATTGTTTGCTCCATCTCTAATTTTATCATGCAGGCTCTTTATTATCCATCATTAATATTTTCAATATTGAAAGAAATTGTGCCGAAATAAATTGATAATAAGCTTTAAACCGCATGGTATCTGCTTTTTTTTGCATCTTTCTGTTTTGTTTTTAAAAACAAAATTATGCTATTATTCTTATATTATATTTTATATATCTCCCCGGCCAAACGCATCATCCTCATTTCTATTGCCTGCCCTATTAAGTGCTACGCGATCACGCGGCTTTATGCGTAAATTATGGGAGATTTCTGGCGTTGTAATTATCTCCATTATGGGAGCGTGTATCCTTCTGGCTAGCTTTGTACCCCTTTCTACTCTTCATCCGGATACCCAAACACAGCTTCCCGCCCCCATCTCAAATCTATATGCTGCTTCTCGACCAGCTAGTCTGGTAAATGGTTATGGCTTGTTTCGTCGGATGACAGGTGTTGGCGGCAGACCAGAGTTAGTAATCGAGGGATCCCAGACGGAAACAGGACCTTGGCGCGAGTACGAATTTCATCATAAGCCAGGGCGAGTCGATAAGACACTCCCTTTCATAGGTAGGTTGAATTCTGCATGCCCGATTTCCGATAAATCCCAAAAATATAAATTTAAATGTGTTTAGATCATAGATATGAAGACCAAGATAATGTGGCAGTTGGTTGCAGTTTCATTTGGCTTTATACTGTTGTTGGTTCGACCTTGCTTTCGCAACTTGGTCGGAGCGTCATGGAAACCTTGTGTAACGCACCTAGTCCCGTGTCCTCTGCTATAATATTCGTGATTTCCAGCATTGGACCATTGGCTGGGTACGTTTAGTAATATGCCTTTCTTAACTGTTGTTATCGTTATGGCATCCCTCCTAGTTTTTGCAATTTGATGAGAAATTATCATTCCCATAAAGTCAATTCTTTATTGAGATGTATTCACCTTATTTCGTCTAAGGTGATAAAGGTAGTCGAATTTTCCCACAATGGTATGAGTTGAGCTGACGTTTCCATTGAATCTCACATAGCCTTGCTTCCCCAAAAGTTGTTCTCATACAGGGTGGACTGCAGTTTCGACCTCGCATCGGTCTTATCAACGCCCTCAGCGGGAGTCGAACCGCGGCAGTGTAGGATTGAAGCTTGACCCGCTAACCCCTCGGCTACACTGCCACGAGTACCCTTGAGTCACAGGGCATAAGTGAATTTCAAGGAAGGCCAGGCATCTTGCCATATCATATTCTTTTAGTAAGAGTGCCGATGAAGCAAACGTATGTTTGCTATAGCAATCGACTACGTTACTTATTTTCTTTATTATTCAAAGCTTTTCTGTAAAAATTAGAGGAGACATATAGTAGGGAGAGGGGGGAATTATTTAAGTTTTTAAATATTAAATCTAGACTCAGACATCATTTGAGTTAGATTCTCACACCGGAGAATTTCCTGAAACTATGATAGACATGACAGACATAATAACGAAAAGGATATCGGACTTAATAAAAAAAAGGCAATAGAAGATGATGAATAAATATGGGATCTATAGACAGCCCAAATTGCGGGCAACGGGCAAAAATAAAGGTGCCTCTAGGTTGAGGGGTCATAATGCACAGACAAGAAATGAAGATAAAGTAGTGAATCTGACTTTCATCCCTCTGACCAGTATACTACAGAGTTCCTCAAGAAGGGACTAAATATTGCACCTCGGAATGAAAGCAAGGCAATCAAGGACACTTTAGTGTAGGTAATAATTATATCTGAGAAGCTACCTGAACAATAAAAAAGAGAGCTGGAAATGAAAATCATCTTAACAATGTTGGCGCATCAAAACCTACGGATAGAGACAGTATAACCAAGATATATAAAAATTGAACAGAAACGATCACATAGTCCCACAAAAATTACAAAGGAGGGGCCACAATGATGATGGTAAGGAAGGAATATACAGAGAAAATGTAAAATATTCTCGGGGACACAACGTATCGACTACTAACAAAAGACCCAACATTTAAAATCAAAGGAGTAATATAAGAAATGCTGAAGAAAATGAATAGGAACAGGAAAATCGACAAATAGACAATGAACTCACTCATGCGAAATGATGCAAGAACACCAGTAACACGGTTTGCCGAAGGTACACAAAGAAGAACAATTGAGATTACGAATTAACAACAAACATGGACCGACAAATAAATTGCCGACATTTATCTGCTTCAAATAAAAGAAAGTGAATGGCAGATCATCGAATGCAGTGAGGAGCTCAACAAATTTTGCCAAAAAATAAAAGGCGCAAGATTGGAAGAAAAATAATTTTTGGTGAGCTTTGATGTACAGTCGATGTACATTAACATCAGAGGATAAAAAGCAATACTGGGGATCTTGAAAAAAGAAAATTACGTCCTTGAGACAAAACGAATGCGTAGAGTCCCTAACCCGATTAATCCACCTAACAAAAGGGCGACCTAGTTCACATTCAACGGCCGCATCTATGAGTCTATGGACTCACCACTCCTACCTCTGTTGGCTAATGTCCTCATGGACAAATTGGAGGAGAATTTCAAAGTGTCACCCCAGCAGCCACAGTAATTATGCGATATTTGGATGACTACTTCGCAATTTGATCACATGGAGAAGAAAAATTGAACGATTTCCTGATCTTCATAAACGAAATGGATGAAAAAGTCAGGCTCACCATTGATCTGGAAGATAACGGACACCTACCGTTCCTGGATGTGAAGGTCATTTACTGCAAGGAAACTCAAGAAAAAAAATTTCCGAAGGAAATCGCATGCTGATATAACTCCTAATTTCCAGTCGAACCATACTTATGGAATGAAGATCGGAATATTGCTGAGTATGGTCATAAGAAGCATACGATTCACTAATTCTGAGTTCTGGGAAATCTAGCTCAGATGTTGCTTGTAAACGGATATCTACCTGCGATATGTAGAATATTAAATCAGACTAAACGTTTAGGTGGGCTAGATATAGGTCACCAGTTTGTGCACATAGGTGATGTGTTAATTATCATATCTATGTCTGTAGGGGAGATGATTGGTGACAGGCTTGGTCACAGAGGATATCAACCAACACACACAGGGATATCAACCCAGTACCCTAGTATTATATAGGAACGTCAACTTCAGAGACGAGAGAACTTTATTTTTCGTGATTCAAGGGAAAAAAGGAAAACAATGCATTTTCATATCAGTGGTTACGACTTAAGCCGGACACAGGGCCCCAAAGAATGAAACACTGTGGGTTGTTATGAAGGAGAGGAGAATTGAGTCACGGGTTTTAAGCCTAGGGAGATGAAGATTCCCAGTCACTGACATGTGCATGGGCATGGACATGTGCATCAAATGCTCTAACTCCTCGAATATGGCGCAATCGAGGACGAGAATAGTAGGTTCTTAGGCAGCCAGATTTCAGACAGCCAAATAGTAATTTTGATTATATGAAGACCAAGATGTGGCCTCTGATAGGGTCGCAGTCTCCTTTCAATTCATAGAAGTGGGTTGAGCTCGTCGCAACTTGGTATTGTTGCTAGGGCGACTTAGTAGAACGCAATTAGTCCGAAGTCGTCTGCCATGGTAGTTGTCATGATTCCCAGCATTAGACAGAGGACTTGTACATTCTCAAACGTTTCGCCGGCATCGTAGTTGGCATCAGCAGTGAGTTTTGCCATTATCCGCGACAAGCTACGAACTCGTCAAAGAGACAAGTGAAATCAATCCCTCGACAAACTTTCTGTTGAAAATGGTTACACTGTCATTCCTCTCTCTGTCTTGGCCTATCTATCTACTCTTTACTCTCATCCCACTGCCGCCCTATCACAACTTCTTACTTGTTTACATTCCACTCATCAAAATGTGTGCCCTTTTGTATCAAATCTAGTTTGGCCTCATCACTTGCTATTCACTCCGGCTGATCCGACTCGTGTCTCCAATCCGGATCCCCTCATTGTCTCGTAGATACGTTCCCTATCTTTCTGGTTGACCGATTTTACTCGCTTCCAGTTCTAGTGTACATTTCACTCCAGGCGCTATTTCTCAAGACCCTAGAGGCACGTACACTACCGCCTCACTGAGCAGAACGCCTAAGCTCTGATTCCCATGTATTTAGATATCAGGCCTTTCGTTCACGGGTCCTCTCCTTGATTAAACCCATGTTATCTGAGCAAACTGTGGACGCCTATCTCTGGTGGCAGGCAGCATCTTAAGTGAAGTTTTAGTACATTTGGGCCATAACGCCGAATTTCTGTGACGGTTTGCTTATCCGTCTGCCCAGCGCCCTAACTGCCAGGCCCCCAAAGTTGTACTGGTTTATCAGAAACGGATAACACTCACTAACAACGTCATCGGTCAACCAGAATGATGAGGAACGTATT